ACCCTGAAGACTGAATTGCTGCAGGAGTAGTACTAATTCTCTAAACGTTATTGCCAGCATGAAAACACACTGTGATATACGAGTACAAATCAGGGAAGATCATATTCCATATTAAATTCATAAGCCTTAATTTTTTTCTGAATGCTCTTTCTGATACATATATTACTATATTTATTGTTTTCTTATATCATATGCAATGCTTTCAACTGTTTCCTTTGTGTGTTATGATGATATGCATCAATCAACAAAAATTCATAAAATTACGTTTACGTTTCGGAGAAATCGGTAATTTCATGCATGTAAAGATAATTTTGGACATGAATTGAGTAATTGAATATGAAGCAGCATGGTAACCTTTTAATTTGACATTATGCTTCGCGATGGTTAAAGACCTCAGCCAACTGCGCTGCGAAGAGTTGAATTAGCTGACAAGAAAAAATTTCTTTCTATATGCCAAAAAAAAATGTAAGCTTTCAGATTTTATATTACACATAAAGAAGTTTTTTTTTCTCTTCCATTTACACACACATACACGTTTCGACAGCATTTCGGTTAGTGTCCCTTTGGGCTAAAAATATTTAAAAGCAGCATATCTTTAGAATTTCCGATAGACAGTAACGCGCGCTGGGCATAAAATTTGTTTTTGTTTCCGCCCCTCCTGTAGTGTTTGTTGCCATTACTCGTTTTGAAATCATTGAGTCTGTTAATCAAAAATTCTTTAAAGTCTTACAACAAATGAAATAGACAATAAAACAAATCCGAAATTCCAAATTCGATAATATTCGATGGCAATAACATGAAAAATGAAACGGACATTATAGTGAACCAACGCAAAATGCAGTTTCGAGACTAATAGCTCTTCTGGGCTTAACCAAGATTACATTTAGTGCCGGTTGAATTAAGAATAATTTATTTGTTATTTAAACAAACCTTAAGTGGGAATTTATTTATTCGATACCCAGATAAGCCTTAAGCATATGCCTGAAATAGATGTTAATTATATTAAATGACTAAACTAACTTAGGCTTAACTTCCGCAGCGCGCGATAGAAGCAAGACTGTTAGTCGCAAATCTTAACGTTATACCGCCAATAGTGTGTAGCGGATACTAGCTAAGTATTAGTGTGTAGCGGATACTAGCTAAGTATTAAGCTATGCTAAGTGACCACTATTCTAACACTGTAGTATGTTCTAAATGCAAATAATATTTCTACCAATAATGCAGAAAGTGACGAAAAGGTTGCTGAGAACGAAAAATTTGCGATTGACAATTCAGTGGGAATTCTCGAACTCTGCAATTTCAGAACTTGAGCAATGGAACTTTGTATCTGACAAGAAATTATATGAAGTAACTGTCATTAAAAGAAAAGTTTAATAAAGCAAATAAAAAAATGAGTTTTTTTTTTTTTTTTTTTTTTTTTTTTTTTTGCAAACTTTGATTCCCTTAAGACAGCAAATGCTTCATTATTTCATAAATAACTATTTCATACTTTATCCCTAAGATCATAAACATTTCATTGTTTCATTAAAAAGTATTTCATATATTAATTTTATAATTTCCACATGGCATCTTACTAGATTTATACTGATGAACTAATTATCTAAATTCAGGAAAATTATGCAATCCAGAATCCCGAAGTCCCGACGAGTCCGGATCTCGGACTTTGTACTATATACAGAAATATCATATATGACTTTTCCAGTTAAAAAAAAAAGGAGAAAGGGTATATCCTACCATGTGATAATTATACACAATCATAAGTAAATTTCTTAAATTATAAAAATATAAATACTTTAATTTTTCTCATTGCCAAATCCAAACTTTGCTTGAGGAAGAAATTTACCTTTTATTTCATTTTTGTGCATCTAGCAGAAAAATACATTTTCTGACTTTTACTTTTTATTAACTCCTCAATATAATAAATCATCTTTATATTATATTTATCAGCATGCTTTGCTGTAACTAAGTAATCAAACTGTATATATGTTTGTCCCAATACTTTTTTCACACTACTTTTTAGAAAGTCTAGAGCAAGGATTTTGCTCTAACTATCTGCAATAATGGCATTAGAATGTTCTTCAAATTCATTACTTTTCTATTTACTATCTTTTGCAGTTGGTGACATTTTCAGCCCTCCTTTTTTAAACTGATATTACAACTTCTATATTCAACAGAGTTTTGATTATTTAGGGTATCTTCAAATGCGAATCAATATCTTATATATCATAACAATCATGATTGCACAATAAACTAGTTCAGGATATTAACTATTAAAATGATTTATTGCATATATTTTATAATCATGCACTAATGAAAATTTTCCTTTGCATTAATAAATGCTGAATTAGTTTCAGAAATACATCATAATTAATTCACTTAAATTTCTCCAATCTCAGAACAAAAATTTATAAAATTATTTAATTTTTAAATTATAATATTAGAAACATTAATATATTTTATTAACAATATTAATTTAAGCAAAAAAATTTTATTATTAAAAAGAGATTAATTTAAAAATTATTTTTTACTTTTAGTTACAATTATATACCATGTAATACACACTCATGCGTATTCTTGTATTTAGAATGTCCGAAGCTATGAAAGACTTTTTATAAATTATAAGTATTAAGATGCTGCATATGAAAGAGAATATCTTCAAAAGCGGAAACTAAGGTTCAGTTTCCTTGAAGGTTTAATTTAAGATTTCTAGCATAAAACAAGAATTGTATGCATACATTTCCATAAAGCTACATGAACGTCAACAAAAAAAATTTTCCACATTCAAATATTCATGTAATATGAAAGGCCACAAAAGCAAGAACTTCTTTTTCACAATATCACAGTTTTATACATTACACAGATAACAAAATACATTTTTTGGAAAAAGCTAAGAAATATACTACTTTTTCATTTATCCAAAATCCATTAACTATGCATATATAGCTATAAAAATATACATAAACTAATGCAAATGTTTATGAAAACTGACAGCAAGCTTTTGATACAAAAGACTTGCAAAATACATTCATATTTCACTATCTGAAGCAGTAAAACTCCCAAACACAAATTATGTATGCATTGAATTTCTCAAAATAAAGCTCTCAAGTTTCAGTCACAGATTGCAGTATGTGCCAGTAAGTCAATACATTTTTTAGGCACAGGCAAAATTACATACTATTTGATATTTCAAAAGCAGACACCTTTTAAAACATTTAAAAAGCAAACACACTAACTGAAAAACAAGATTATTGCTTTTATGAGGTATTGGACTTGTTCAAGTTATTATGGGTACAATGATCAACACAACCACATACAATTAAGTTAATGCAGAGAATCATAAACCGTTTGTACCTTGTTGCAAAAAATAATGTTACTGAAATATTTTTTCCATAACAAGGAAAATTTTACACAATCACAAATGCAACAGTAGGAAATATTCATAGACAATTTTAGAATAACACGTTCAAAAGTCTATAAGCAACTATCAAAAGAGCATTTCAAAATATTACATGATTAAGAATATTTCTATAATATATACCTAATTTGACATGAATTGCTATGTGTGAAATATTTCATTATCAAAAGGAGAAATAAATTTCGTATTACCAGTCAATACAATGAATTTTACATTTGGCCTCTGCTAGTATAGAGAATTTTCTGCTAGCATACAGAACACTATGAATGAATGATGAAATATAAATTCAACTAAAACATAAGATGTGAAATATATCTTTCTTAATACAAGAAAAATGAATGAAACCTGAATTTTTATGTTTCATTCATAAACAGTTTTATGAGCATTTAAATAAAATGCAGTTACTGATTACTGGCTAAGAATACAGTTTATACATTAAGATATTAAGAAAAATTAGGTTGTTAAACATTTGTATTAAGACTTTTTGAATAATAAGTTCAAGAAAATTCCAAATTTTTGAATTTGTACATAATTTTAAATATTAATATTTAATTACATGGCAACACAAATAGTTCAAGAAAGCAATTCACTAACAAGAACTAATAAAGGCAAAGATATTGTTGGTTAATAAGATTAGTTAATTCTCAATACCGCTTAATTACAATAATACATTTATCTTTATGTCAGATTCCACAGGAGATAAATTCTAAGAAATCTGTGTTCTTATTTAAGAAGCTTACATAGATCACAGCTTGTTTTATGTTCATTACTAAGTCACAAATTATTAGTTTCTTTAATTTACTATTAACAACATACAGCAATAAAAACAATGATTTCATATAGTTAACCTTACATATTAACATTCTTCAACCCCTTTACAAGCATTTTAACACAAATATAACATATTTAAATTTGATAGTTTTACAATAATCAGAGTAACTATTTTTGAAAATCAAATCCATGAGTTTGTGATCATATAACTGAATTTATAACAATTACACTCTTGACATAATGTTCAAAAAGCAATCCAGAAATTCAAAAACAAGGTTCTTACATAATGCTCATGTTTCTTTGCTAATTAAAAAAGAAAAAAAAAAAGAAAGAAAGAAAAAAAAAAAAGAACCATATAATTTCACATATACAAAAAAATAAGTAAAATTAATTATACTGAGAATCCCATTAGATAATACAAATACTAAAATGATTTTCATTTTCCTTCATTTTAATTATTTTTAAATATATGAGCAAATTAACTCATGAGAATGCACAAATATATATCATATCCATCTTTAAAAATAAATTAAACTTTTGGTTATTTAATTAAGAGTCACTTTTCTTTAAGAGTAAAACTGTTAGAGAGAAAAAACTAGATTTTTTTTACAATTACATCTCTGATGTGAAGAGTATAGGACAGGGATGGCCAAAGTGGGGCTCGCGAGCCTGATACGGCTCTCGCAGGCAATTTGTGCGGCTCATGCATATAAAATATATGTATGAAATATGGTAAACTAAAATTATTCAGTGTCCAAAAGGAAGTAATTAATTAGTTTAGACTCATTTTACAAAGTTATCAGTGATTTCTTTCTATTTAAAATCTCCTCCACTACTTCTATAATGATGTAAATATGAACTTGTGGCTTTTATAAAATCTAGATGCGGCTCTCGAACATTCCTGAATTCATACATATGGTTCTTACTGACATGAAGTTTAACCAACCCTGGTATAGGATATGGTTGCACTACTCATCTCAGTCAAAATTTAAATATTTAACTCACTTTCTGTTAAACTGAGCATGGATAAAAATACTTATCCTGGGTTATTCTGAAATCTATAAATAAAGATCAGAATTCATAATAACAATGGATCATTTCAAATTGACAATATTTCATATTGTAAAATATTTGATATAACCATGCTTGCACAAAGCCTGAGTGTCAATAATACTGAACAGTAAAAGGAAACCCTGCATTACCTAGTGTTTTAGAAAATAAATTAGTTCTTAGTTACATTTTACACATAGTTAAAAAATAGTATCAATTTATCTGCATCAGCTTTAGTTTAGAAACACAACATAAACTTCTTAGTTGGTTAATACATGGATTAAGGATAACTTTAAGCAGCTTTTTTTTTATGCGCAACAGAAACAAGTGAGGCTTTTTCTAGCGGATTAGTCTAGTGTGAAATGAAAGAACAAAATAATTTAATTTAAGAAACAAAATCTCAAAAAGTTCAGCAAAGGGAATACATACAATACCTATGCGTATTGTGGTTTTGAAATAACACATCAAAAACTGATCAATTGATTTGGGGCAGGAAAAAAAGCAGCCTTCAAAGAAAGATACAAATGGAGATCAAAATTTAAAAAGGAATCTTTAGTTGACATAGATAAACTAGATTACATACCAAATTAGGGGTGATAGAACAATGTGAGAGAAAAAGAAAAAAAAAAAAGAAAGAGAGGGAAAAAAATTTACTGTATTATTATTTATTCAATAAATTCTCTGAACTCAGCGAACTTCGAGAAAGCTAACAACTAGATATATTCATTTTCTAGCAGCTAGGAAAGCCTGTAAGAACTTTGCATTTCCTAAATTCAAAGAACACAACTGATTCTATCATCTAATCCTCATTTGTTTTATTTGTAACAATACTTTAGTTCAATAGTTTTCTGCTTAATAATTTTGTGCGAATATAAGTCAAAGAATTTTTATTTCAACTAGTTAAGAATACCACTCTAATTTCAACACACTTAGCTGTAATAAGAGTATTAAAGCTCAGCACCTATATTATTTTCCAAAATGCTTCCATGAATTAGCTGAAGCAGAGCAGTACATAGAATATATTAATTAGAAATAACAAGGAAGTTATGAGAAATAGATGACCACATATTATATCCCTGAAATCTTTACCTGAAGTTAATTACATTAAAAATCTGTTTCATGAATATTTGATTATTTTATGGTACCTAATATGTAGTTGTAATTAAATGATCAATTTTAAGAGGTCACATATGTAATTAAATGTATAAGAATTGCAAATATATTTAATTTTTACTATTTATTTAACTTAAACATCATATAAAACTTCAAAATATAATGTGGTTATGAAAAATCCCTACAGACTTAACAGATCGTAGCATTCAGAAGAAGCTTTAAATTCATTATATGCAAAATTATGTGTAACTTTTAAGATCCATATTGATGATGTACTTGCTACATGGGATACAAATAAATACTAACTTAACAACTCTTGAGAGAAAAATGCCATGAAAGAAAAAAATTTCCCTGACTGTCTCATTAAAGAATATCCTTCTCTTCTCTTTATTTCTAAAGAAGATAAAAATCGCATCTTATAGATGTAAGAAAAAGAGTATTGTCATGTTATCATTCGTATGCAAAGGTAATTAAAGTGAACAGTTACAAATGTTTCCAGAAAATCTGAAATTGCCTCTTTTTATATGATGATGAAAGTTAATGATAGATCTTTTTAGAGAAATAACAACAACATTACACTGGCTAAAATACTAAATGCTGATCTACAGCAATTTTCCTTTGGTAATTATTACAAATTACAGAAGAATTATTTATTATCAACAAACAGCTTCCTATTCGACTTTAAAATAGTAATGAAATAATACTAAAACTCTTAATATACAAACTTTCAAGGCAAAACACAAAAACACAGTTTTATTGCATAAGATTTAAGAAAAATTTTCGATACACAAACAGTGCACAAAATAAATATAAATACTGTAGATTTCTATTAAAACTACACTTTTTCATTTAAATTACAAAAACTAATGTACACACAATTAATGATATTTTTAAAAAAGATAAATGATTTTGGGTATGACATACCCAGTGCTATCTCTTGTTTAATGTTTCAAAGCATTTTCTCCTTGATTAATAAATAATGAATGGCTAATAATAGAAATAGATTTAACACCATGACTTTTAAAATGATTAAGTACAAGTAAATCATCAGCTTTGTTCAAACCATCATATACATTTAGCAAACCTACACAATGCATCTATAAAGTTTTAGGATTAATTTTTCCCATCAATCCCAGTGAAATGATGTCTCTACTTGCTTCCATTAAAATATTGATTCCTTATGCAAAAAAGTTTAAAAAGGATTATTTATTCAATGTTATGCAGCCTGCAATTGCTGTTACAAATTTAACAACTAAACAGTGAGTTTTCTTGGCACATTCAACTGTTATCAAACAGCTTATTGGAAAACACTAATCATTTATTGTTCCCCATATTTACTAGAGTTGGCACCTGCAGAGTACTTTTTTTCTAAAGTCTTTTCAAAGTGGTTAGTTTTGAAAGCACTTCAGAAATTTAGAAAATCACAATTATGTAATGAAAGAGTGTTCTAAAGTTGATATCGACAGAGCAGTTCAGAAGCTTTATGAATGTTCCAACAGGCATGCAGCATCAGATGTAGTATATAGTATATATAGATGATTAAATAGAAAGAAAGACATTTTCTTCAAGTTTTTGCCCATTTATGAATTCTATCATAAAACTAAACAGATGCACTATGTACATCAACAATTATATTAAAGCGTATTCTAGGCGTTTACATGTGTCATATTTCATAAAAGTGACTTTAAATGTAGAATCATCAAAGCATGTCTCATGATTGTCAAAAACAAAAGGCAACTCATCAACAGAATATCTATATCATACACAGTGAGCGATACAAATTTAAACTTTATACAATATGTTTTATTAAGATTGTGAAAATTTTCTCAAATATTACAAACAGTGATGATAAAATACATTGATGATAAGACACTTTATGAGACATTTTATGACACTCTAAAGGAAAAAATAGATACATATCAACTAGATAAAATTTATGAAACACTCTGCTTTTCATGCCTAAACTCTTGCACAAATACTGCTTATTAGGAGTCAAATCCAGCACTGAACACTTCAATTGTTTTACTTTGATCAAAGATACTGCTTTTACCAAGTGCTATAGACACAACTTGGCACTTTGTATTTATGCAAACAGGAACTTATTAGCCATGAATAGCTATCATTTTGGCAATTATTTTCAAGCTCAGCAACTCTATCAAAAGAGCAGCATTAAATAAAGTTATTTTACCCACACCAGCACAGTCAGAATTATCTTCCTGAAATGATACCAAATTATACTTTCATTCAATGTTCACTGAACTTGCACATTAGTCATATAAGAGGAAATGGAGCAGATAAAGAAATCCTAACTATATAACAAATTTAATTATGAATTATAACTTCATAGTTTCTGTTCTGAACATCTTTACATATTACATAAATAAGAAAAATTAACCACAAATTATACGGAAAATTACAAAAAAAGCTATTTCATTTATCTAGTTTTCAATTAAAAGCTATTTGAGATATAATATGAAGAAAAAATGTGAAATAAATCATTATGTTTAGTAAAAAATAGTAAAAGATAGCAAACTAAAATTTAATATAAGCCAAGAACACAAATAAAATTATAAATCATTTATATTTCAATAGTCATTAAAAAGAGAAAAATTTAACCATCTTCATTGTTAATATCAATGAAAAAGAAAATCTAAATTGATCTAATGTAAATAAAATTTATTCCGCAGGAGACATTAAACCTGTTAATACCTATGAAAAATGGAAGAAAGATAATGAAACTGCAGAGGCATAGGAGATCCACGGCTGCTTAATGAATGCAACTATCAGAGACTCCCATTGTACGAAAATACCGTCTTTTTCCGAAAATAAGACACAGTCTTACTTTTTTTGGGGGGTCCAAAATACGCGCTAGGGCTTATTTTCGGGGATGGGCAAAAATAAATGTATATTTATATATTTTTATTTAATATTTATTTTATACAGAATACAGAAACTTAAATTTATTCAATTACAGTCGTGTCATCTTCTTCTGGAACATCGTAATAAATAAAATTCTGAATTATATTCTGATTTTCTTCTAAATCCATTTCCTGTTGAATCATTGGTCCGAATCTCTCATGTCTTGCAATATAGCTATCGTTAAATGAATACTTGTCTAAGTAGCCTGTTCGTAGTGCATTGGAAACATCACTATCAGTTATTTTGTTCCATGAAATTTTTACCCAATTCACAACTTCTTGTAAGCCTGGTTTTACAAAATTACCTCGATGATTTCTCACCATTCTGTTTTCAATATATTCATTGATTTCCATCCGCAAATGATCCTTGAATGGCTTGTTTATTGCAATGTCAAGTGTCTGGAGGTAACCAGTCATTCTTGCCAGAATCATTACTTGATCAATCTTCCTCTCAGCAAGAAAGTTTTTCATGTCTTTAAGCGCGGTGAGTACTGGCTGAATCCCAAACTAGTAAACCTCTATTCTGACCCCAAACAGTGGTGGCAGCATAAAATAACCCACTTTCTTATAACTGCTTGGGTGCACCAGCTGCTTTTTCACTTTCAATGACATAAATTCCTGAAACACGTTGAATCTGGTCTTTTTTACCTTTAGTGATTAAAAATGGCGATACTTTCTTGCCATCTAGACAAATCGCCAAAATACAAGTAACATGTGCACTATCGTAACCAGTAGAAGGAAGGTAAATTGACGAAGAAGCCTTGTGGTGAACTGTCGTTTGAGTTCCTTGGCCTAGGAATACCGCGTTCTCATCCATAGCAATCATGTTGGAGAGTTGGTATTTCGAAAAATCGATGCCATCAACAAAAAGCTTAAACGCAAGTGCATGCTTAACAACTTCATTGTCTTCCAACTTAAACAATCTTGTTGATCTCCTTAGAGACAGTTCACTTCGTTTAAGGAAGTTGTCCAACCAGTGTGATGATGCTTTAAATTCTTCTGTGGATATATCAAATTCAATTACTGTTTCAAGGGCAAATTTTTGAATATCAGCCCTGTGCACAACCAAAGCCATTGCTCTCCTGCCTGCAATCCATTCCCAGATGCAATCTTCCAACTCAGAAAATAATGGCTGCTGACCTGATCCAACTCTGCGTTTTTTCTCATTTCCTTGGTCCACCAGTTGACACAGGTAATCGTAGTCTGCACGCCATTTACGAACCGTACAGATATCCAGCACCTTCTCTTTACAGAATGCTACAAGATTTACACCCCTGGAGTCTTCCACGATTCCCTTTTTGTACTCGACAGAATAGCTCTTTCGTTTTGTACTCACTCATTTTAACTGGGATTAAAAATTATTCACTTTATTTTTAAATAAAATTACGTATGAGGAAATAATCAGACTTACAAGACTGGAATGAATATTGTATACCTGCACTGTCGCTCAATGTAGACTGCTGCTTTATGTTGTATTTTTAACCAGTTCGCCGTTAGAAAAATCGCAAACATTTCGTGCCATTTTTCGCATCCAAAGGTAAACTTTTTGTGTCTAAAACTGGGCTCAGAGTATTTCTTTCCCCCTTTCACCACCTGTGAAAGCCTATTTAGAAGTTCTGTTCAAATCAGATTGAACAGCGTACCTGTCAAACTGATCCTGAAGGATGGTGAATAATGACCCCCTAAGGGGCAACATAAAACACAAAGACTGGTGTAGTCCTTAGAGCAGATATTTTTCCCTTTGCACCCAACCCCACTTCCACTTCCACTTCCTGCACCCAACCCAAAATCTATTGCAATCTATTACAATGTAAATGTAATTTTTAATTGTTCAAGAAAAAAGCTTTATATAAAGTAAAAATAAGGGCATTAGGCTAGTATTTGAAATGTCCTTGAATTTTGTTTTATTATTTTCTTGATGGCCTGTAACAAAAGAGAGAACTGAATCGTTAAGAATTGAAAAAGATAGCATTCAAATCCCTTTGTTCGTTAATAGAAAGGGAGAAATGCTGTTGTGGATCTCATAAGATATGTTGAGGGGGTAGCTATTCGAAGAAAGTGTCCCATCCTTTACTTTCCTGAAACAGCCTCCGCTGTGATCCTAATGCGACACCGCTGAGAAGATAAGTAACCCATCAATCACCCCTTTTGATTTTCGACTCATTCTGTGGGGGTTGGAAAAAGGTCGCTGCATCGTTAAGATAAATTCCAAGAATTAATTTGAAACGAACTGTAGAGGTAAACAATTAATTTCTCGGAATATTTTGTTTCAAACATTTCTCTGAAATACGAGTATTAGGAAAGCTAAACATATTATTACTTAATAAATCAACAGCATTTTTTAATGAATTCTTTTTGTCACATTATTTTAACTAGAGATTATTTTCGGGGGATGTCTTATTTTACAAAAAGTTCCGAAAATCACAATAGGGCTTATTTTCGGAGGATGTCTTATTTTCAGAAAAAGACGGTATATTGGCAGCTGCCAGTTGTTCAGTCAACAAACGAATGCTATGCATATCCAAGTATGAGAGTATACTGTACACAGTTCTTTCAATCTTGACAGATATGGGACTCTGCTGCAAATAAATTTCAGATATCCTCATTAGCACAGCATCAGTAGCGTTTACAACTACACTGAGCCTGTGAGCATCATGATTGGACCTCAAAATAACAGAAAACAGGTGAATGGTTGAATGAATCATTTCTTTTACATTACATCAGAGGTTGTTTTAGGGTACATTGTCCTCCAGGTGAACAGTTTATGTACACATTTGTTGAGGGGGTAGCTATATTTGATATGTTGAGGGGGTAGCTATTCGAAGAAAGTGTCTCCATCCTTTACTTTCCTGAAACAGCCCTGCTGTGATCCTAATGCGACACCACTGAGAAGATAAGTAACCCATCAATCACCCCTTTTGATTTTCGACTCATTCTGTGGGGGTTGGAAAAAGGTCGCTGCATCGTTAAGATAAATTCCAAGAATTAATTTGAAACGAACTGTAGAGGTAAACAATTAATTTCTCGGAATATTTTGTTTCAAACATTTCTCTGAAATACGAGTATTAGGAAAGCTAAAACATATTATTACTTAATAAATCAACAGCATTTTTTAATGAATTCTTTTTGTCACATTATTTTAACTAGAGATTATTTTCGGGGGATGTCTTATTTTACAAAAAAGTTCCGAAAATCACAATAGGGCTTATTTTCGGAGGATGTCTTATTTTCAGAAAAAGACGGTATATTGGCAGCTGCCAGTTGTTCAGTCAACAAACGAATGCTATGCATATCCAAGTATGAGAGTATACTGTACACAGTTCTTTCAATCTTGACAGATATGGGACTCTGCTGCAAATAAATTTCAGATATCCTCATTAGCACAGCATCAGTAGCGTTTACAACTACACTGAGCCTGTGAGCATCATGATTGGACCTCAAAATAACAGAAAACAGGTGAATGGTTGAATGAATCATTTCTTTTACATTACATCAGAGGTTGTTTTAGGGTACATTGTCCTCCAGGTGAACAGTTTATGTACACATTTACTGCATCACATAAAGAGACCAGTGATATAAGTAACAATTTAGAGAACATTCTTAGGAGCTTCCCTAGGACCGGTGGTGGTTGTAGAATGGACTATGACTGCTGCAGATGGATATCACTGGTTAACAGTTACAAGCCTTTTGTGGTTTTTATCTTCCATACCAAAAATGACCTAACCCAGTAGGACAAAAATGACATCTCACACACCATGTCACACAGCCACTGCTGGTTTGAGGAACATGCTAATAAATTCCAGTTGATATCCTGGCTTTCTAATTTAAGAGATATTAATTAAGCACAACCATAATGTCAAGAAGTGCCAGAAAAGCTCACCAAAAACTTTAGCATAATCTTCCACAATTGTATGATTTTTTTCTTGCAAATTTAATGAATGGATATTTACTATGGACTTACAGAAACATCTGGACTAATGTTACGTTTTCAGGAATTTTGTCTTTCCCAACGGAAATTGTTTCTTCCAGCAGAACATTGCTTGACAAAAGATTGGAACTATACTGCAGTGGTTTGAGAAACAAGCTAATGAAGTTCTATTGAGCACATGTGGGCTGTCAAGAAGCACCAGATCAGAGGTCACCAACAATCTATAGGAACAGCATGACCTCTGCTTGCAAATCTCATAAAATTTCCCTTTATCAATAAATCCATATCAAAATATTTATAAAAATATCACTTAAAATGAATGAATGAAATTGAATTTATGTGGTAGCAACTTAACTTTTGCTACCACATAAATTCAATTAAATAAGAATCCAATTGGTTACAGTCACTGCTTTGTTCCCATTTATTTCACACTGCACCATAACTTTCAATAGTTTGCGTCTGACAACGAGTATTGGAATTGATATAATTATATTTATTATTAATGCAGAAATGTTCAAATCCTACCTCTTCAAGCTTTTCAGTGTGATACTATTTCCCACAGTCTGAGTATATTGCAATGCCATCAATATTTTCTTCAATAACTTTAAGCAAAGAGTTCGGGAAGAACGGTTAGGCACAAAAACTAAAAAACATTCTTTTGTTTCTCGGGAAATCCCACCACACACCCATTGTGGTGGAAGAATATGACCTTTTTTTTTTTTTTTTTTTAAAGTGAAAACAGGCTTTCATCAACTTTGACAATATTATCAGCACTGAAGGTCTAGACATTAATGCATGGCCACAGACTACCCTCATATAATTGTTCCATTCAACAAAAGTGCAATGATTCATATCAAGTATCATGATCATGTAATACTGACCAAATTCAAGGAAATTTAATTCTAAATGCCATGCATAAATGAAATGACTTCAACTTAAGAAACTGAGTCCAGATCTTTCAAATTAATTTTGAGAACATAATCCTTTTTTTGGGGGTCACATCATATCTTGAAAATCTCCATTTCTGAGCTTTATTCAAATTGATGCAGAGCTTCATTTTATGGCATTTGGTGTCCTTTCTCCTATTATTAATTGAGTGAATTATTCCTTACTTGTGAAGAAATTGTATGACAGATGTTTCACTATTAGGTAAGCCCTAAATCTTCATATCCATGGTAAATACAACAATAATAAAAAAAAAGAAATGGCTGCTACATCTTTATAACTTGTATTCTCACTACTAATTTTGAAAAGGCATACTTAAAAAAAATAAATTGTAATGACTTTAAAAATAAACATTGTCAACTTCGTATGGACCTGCAGCGGCATCGCCAAACAGATGATATGAACTCAAAACTGAACATAAAACTGCCAATTGGTGAAAGACAGTCTAAATCTGTATGGCAACCTTTCAGGCTGATGGAGAGGGATGAGTTTTTCTCTGGTAGTCTGTGCTTCACTGGGATATGTGAACCCCGGTATCCGTGTCTGTGTTGGGCTGTTCTCTGTCTTTTTTAGACCGTCATAGTGTATCCAATGCTGGCAACTATGTTCTTTTTCCTTATTAAATTTGATTAGTATTTTCTATATGCCTATTTTAATTAGAATTGCTGTTTGTCTATTTAATTCTATCGCTCCTCTCTTAGGCTTGTGTTACCCATGTGTACCTGAAACCAGTCTCTTGGTGAGTTTAGCAAAACATCTGGTGACAACTCAAGTCCTAACAACAGAACAGTGCCAACTAAACTGGATGCTTAACAATGAGTTATTAGGAATTTTATGATATTCAAATATGTACACATTGCAAAAAATAATGTATGCTCAAATTGAAGACAAAGAATGTTTCTATTAAACCTATCCAAAAAAGTTAAGCCATTTTTAAAACTTACCACAAAAAATGTTCAAAAGGAAATTTAGCCATAATTTAAGATCTCTCTCTTTTGTTTACTAGTTTAATAACTACAAGCTCCCTTTTTTATATATTTTTTATTAAATAATAGGAATCTTGAATACAATGGCATAAAAACTAAATGAAACTTGAAATAGCAAACTTACCTTCTGAAAAGTACATACACAAATGAAACCACAAATATTCAGCAATAAAAATAGATATATTTAATACATAATAAAACATTTAAAAATAAAAATAAATGTACTTAATTATTATAAAGTCAAACTAACAGTTTCTTCTAAATCAGAAGGATAGCCCTTGTTCAAAAAGGTAACTAAGGAAGCAAGCTCACTTCTTCTTCTTCTCTTTTTTTTTTTTTTTTTTTTTTTTTTTCCCTTAGTGATATTTTTACACCAATTTAAAATTTACCTCACTAATAATTCACAAAAGAATAAAGCAGTAGAGAAATCTAACAACATTTACAACTTTTAAAACTGTATCAAAAATACAATGTTAATCTTACTTACTTCGCTGCTGTAACTAAAGCACTTATCAGGTCTTTTACGATATCGTAAAGGACGATTGCACAGACTGCTATTTGGAGCTGCGACTGAATAAACAGAAATTTAATTATATTTTCTCTAATTTACATGCAATAAATTACTTTCCATTAAATAATTTTCAAATGCAAAGACATATTTTTTTTAGAATAAAATTATATTATAGATGTATTACTCTTGTATATATTACTCTTTAAAAGTAATCTTAAATAAAATAACTAGACTACAAACTGTCCTTGTCTGCTTAAAATAAAAATAATCGGAAGTGCAAGATTTAATTTTTTAAAACATTTATAATATATAAATTTTTGTAATATAGCAACAAATTTCTACTTAAAGCAAACTTTTAAATATTATAATAATTGTATTTAATTAGCCAATAAAAAATCTGATATTACAATAGCCAATAAAAAATTGGATACAAAATAATTATGACATGCACATAAATGCATTATTACCTGTACATATGAACACGTACATTACATATACATATGAATACCCATAAATACATAATAGAGTATATGATTATTATGACTAGATAAATAGTCTACTCCTTTAATGCCAAGCAACAGTTTTGTAAGCCAGGGAAAAAAATTAAAGCCAGTATTATTCCCACATTAAGCCATGAAAATCCATAAATCAAAAAGCTCTAAATTTCAAGAAAAAATAAAAATAGTTAAGAATTCACTTTACTCCATTAATGCTACATCAAGTACAGGGTGGTCATAAAATAGTAAGTTTTTCCTATTTGAAGCATTCTGCAGCTTTTGTTTATTGCCAGAATTGCACCAAAGAATGATATATAAACAATATTAGGAAACAATTTATGTGGGAAAAACGAAATTAGTATAATAATTAAATTTTCTAATTATTAAAAAAAATTCAGTAAATAAAAGTATTTTCACAGCCTGAAGAAAACTTATTGCTGTCTGCCAATAAAGTGGACATTTCTCAAGATTTTAATTCTTAATTTTTATTTTTTTTTTTTTTTTTTTTTTTTTACAAATATTCTATTTAATGTATAATCTGTTGCATGACAGAACTTTATCAAATCTTCATAAATATTTTTCACTTGTTGTGTTAAGCTCTGTCTTACGGTTATCAAATTAGAAACACTGCAAATACAAATGTTGGCTTTCATATATCCCCCACAGCTAAAATTCATACCAAATATTGTCATGGGAGTAAATAAGTGAAAATAAAACTAGACAGTCTTTTTCTTGATGAAAATTTCTACTGGAACAGTCTGGATGTATAGAAATGTCTAAAACAAAATATACAAAACAACACAAACTGCCATATATTTGACTCATTCAAAATCAGTTTTTAAATTTTTCTTTGTCTATGCATTAATTTCAAGAACTTGAAATAAATTCTGTGCAGCTAAATTCAACATATCAATGAATTAGATTCAATCTTCTGGAGGTTTTTTCTGAGAGACCTTTCTCTGAAGAAGGTTCAAGTCTACTTTACTGTTTGTTTAATTTTTCAGCAAAAGAATTCTTCCTTTGTAATTTATTAACCATTCTCATGCATAAAGTAGTTTATTAGAGCCAATTAAATTTTAATTTGAAATGTCTGGTAAATATTTGGTAGGATGAAAATCTTGTCGCCTTTTTTCAAATACTAAGCCACTTTTGGGGAGGATGGAACATTGTTAGTTGAAGGTAGCCCTGATCAAAACATCATACCATTGCATTTATTTACAATTTTTATTTATTTAATTTAGGGCAGTTTTTCTATACATCTACAACACAAGTATGAAAATTCCCTGCTCAGCTGATAAAAGGCTGAAAAATGGCAACATTGGACAAGGCACACCAAAAAATTTGGAGTCTAAATGCGATTTTTATTACAAATTCCTACTTCTAGCTGTCCTTAGAATAAAATTCACTGTTTCTATTGTAGGTGGAATTAAAAATGTCACATATTTTCCACAATAAAAAATTCTGATTTTTATATCTGCAAAAACTCCATCATTCAGTCTCAAAGAATTTTGGAACTCTCCCAACTGTTAATTGTGTAGTTTAGAATTATCTTTTGTTTCTTAAATTGGCTGAAAGTGCCTTACGAAATGCATGTAAGAAAAATCAAATCACTTTGCCAACTCTCACATAGCTATCCAACTGCTTTCTATGCCATTCTGAGTAATTCTTCATTTTCTGTCTGACAAAAACTGAAAATCAGTCTCATTTTCCCTTCAAAAATTCTTGGTACTGCATATCCATTTATGACTCAGCAATTTTAGTGCTAAAGGTAAGTTTTGATTCACAAACAATCTGAAACAGATAAAGGAAACTGAATGCAGTCCATCTGATAATACAGTCTCTCAGAAAAAGATTTAAAGAGCTGGAAGGACAAAAATGAATTGATAGGTTAAATTTTAATATGCACAAATAATCTCAAGGTATTGAAAATCATGCCTAAAAATAAAAAGAAAAACAATTATAAAAAAAATTTACATATATATGGGAATATCTGGTAGCTATTAAGGACAACCAAACTCAAAATACATAGCACGTAGGATACATTATGCTCTATTAGGATATATTCCAATATTAAACACAGTGAACACTGATTGGAAATTTTAAGGCAAAAAAATATGACCATACTAATCATATAGGCTTCATCAACCAAACAATACATTAGTTTTCTTCCCCTTTTAGCCCAAAAGGGCATTAACCCGAAGGGGGAATTTGTCTCGACATGGGATTTTGCATCATCCACTATAAATAGCAAATCATTTCCCAAATTGTTTCCACCAAATACTACCGTCCTGTTTTATCTTTAAAGAAATTAAATAATGAAGAATTTGCATGTATGTAAGTATGTTCATTGCATTGTGAAAAAATGACGGTACCTAGAGCCATGAAATTTTAAATAATGTTTTTCTCCACCTGAACATGAGCACTTGGAAACCTTAATTTTATATTTTCTATTTTGTAAAACTTTAACGAATTTTTTATTAACAAAATCAATGATTTGAAAGTGAGCAGGGGCAACACTAAAGAATAAAACATTTTTATCTCCAGCATGCAAGAGTGTCTGTTGGAAATTCTAACAATATCCTGTTTTTAAATATTTTGCAATGTTACAGTTGAATTGGAGTTTATGTCACTTAAGTGGAAAGAACATGATATCTAATAAACAAACTTAATACACAAAACATCAATAATAAAAAGACAAAAAGTTTTCTAAGCCATCTTGCCAAGATAACTGAAAATCGATATGATGAACTGAGAAAAGACTGAAAAAAAGCAGAAAAACATATACCAACACTTAACACTGCACTGGGAATTCTAAACACATGCTGTTATGATGCTTTTAAAATTTTTGCAATTTTGCTATTGAATCGTATATGGCGGAGGTGCGAAATGAAGAAAATGGTGCATAGTAATACAGCTAACAGGAGTAAGAGCAACAGCAGACTGGAGACAGCAAACTCAGCGAGAGTGTAAAAAAAAAACAACTTTGTTACAATTTCTTCTATGAATAAGACAGTTATTTCTTTTCATACAGTGTCATAAATTCATCCATCAATTTTTTTTAATAATTCGAGAAAAGCTTTCAACAGAAAGCTTTCTAGCATTTAAAAGTAGCTCAGCAGTAGTCACCTTTCATTATTAGTTCATCCTATCACCAATTTTTTTAAAAGACCCATTAATATCTCTGCATTGTTGGAATTGCTCTGCTTATTCTTTTATTATTACTTTTTGACTAGACTCAATTTTTTTAATTTTTAGACAAACTGCTGTAATCCCATAATTTGTAAACTTTCAAACCATATTTGTTTCTTATGGATTATGCTAATATCAAAAATGAAATTATGAATACCATACTTTCATCAACTGCTATTTATATAGCATAACAATCTGAAAATAAGACTTTTATATAAAAGACTTATAAGACTTTTATATTTATATAAAATGAAAAGTAGTGCTGCTGCTTACCAATTACGTAATTAGATATGAATAAGAGCTCCTTTGTTAATACTTACTGAAAAAAAAACTGAGCTTACTGAGCTATTTTAGAGTATGAAATAAAACAAATGTGTTGTGGCACTTCATTGAACTTAACATACACTGGTGTGCAAAAATTAAGGACGAAGTCGAAAAATTAGCATATCAGCTGAACGAAGAGGCAGAGCGGACAGAAAGACCAATCAGGAGATTAAGTAAGGTGATGTACGGTAGCACATGCGCAGATATGCAGGTAGACGTAATGGGGAAGTTTTCTGAGTGTAAAGCATGTGTCGTGTAAGATCAGTATTTCTGGCAAAAAGATTGCATGCCGTATAGCAGTTAAAATCAGTTGCTGCCTCAGCGAGAAATAGCGAATAATCAATCTGTTAGACGACATCTGGATGCTTTTACCCGAGTTCGAATCATTGGGAAGTTGGAGGAAGGCCGCAGCGTGACAAGTGTGGCTGCAGAGTTCGGAATTGCTCACAGCATCGTTTCACGACTTTAGAGACAATTTCAAACCCACAGGAACATCTATCCGGGGGTTTAGTAGTGGTCGCCCATGAAAAACCACACCCGCAGATGACCGGTATATTGCCTTACAGGCCAGAAGAAACAGGCGGCAGACGCGGGAGAAATCGCTAGACACACGACACATGCGACTGGACGACCAATATGTGTTTTACCGTGACCAGATACTGCACAGTGGTCTGTTTGCACGAACGCCTGTACGGTTGTGTACCTCCAACGCCTGCCCCATCGGAGAAGCGTTCTCTGTGGTGTCGGAACACCGGAATTGGAGAGACAATGAATGGGGATGAGTATCTTACAGATGAGAGCAGATTCAGTCTGAGTAGCGATTCTCATCGCATACTCATCTGGAGAGAGCGGGGAAGCTGCAATTCCCTCGAACATCATTGAAAGGGACAGGTATGGAGGTGGCGGTGTTCTCGTTGGAGAGGCAACATGTTGGGTCATACAGACTTTCACATCTTCGACGCAGGTTCAGTCAACGGGACCCGTTATTGCAATGAGATTCTTCTTCCATATGTGCGTCTTTTTAGAGGCGCTATGGGCCCACAGTTTTTTCATGGACGACAATGAACCTGTCATCGCACAGTAGCTGCCGAACAGCTCTTAGAGAGTGAGGGATATGAACGTAAGGATTGGCCGGCACGATCTCCGGATCTCAATCCCATCGAGCACGTATGGGATTTTCTAGGCAGACGCTTGGCAGCTCGTACCATACCACCAGTAACGATTCCGGAGCTTTGATTGGTGCTGCAAGACGAATGGGCAACAATGCCTCAACAACTCATTGACACTCTCATTCTCAGCATGGGCAGACGCTGTGAAACCTGCCTAGCAGTCAGGGGAGATCATATACCCTTTAAAGACCGGATGTTTCTTGCTGGACACCCATCACATGGATGTTTCGGCCTTCAGTCGCATTGCGCTCCATACTACTTTTTCAATAAAGCTTCTTTTTAGCCCTCTGATTTCTCTTTTAGTTAGTCTCTTTAGTTTAGTCTCTTTAAGTGTTGCTTACATTACTCATGTCCTTACAAAATTGGGGATCTTACGGTATTAAATGTGTTTATTTGGAAAGCTTTTGTACAAAGTTATATTGAAAAAACCGTCTCGTCCTTAATTTTTGCACACCAGTGTATTTGCTGTCACAGAAAAAAAAAAAAAAAACACTAATTTTCTTAATAGTATCATTATAGGTGACAAGAAAATATTTTAGTATAATCCTAGAGTAAACAGGATTAAAAAAAGAAAGCAGTAGTCTTCAAAAGTAAAAAAAATTGTTGGTCCACATCGAAATAATGTGGATTATCATCTTCAACTGCAAATGGAAGAGAGAATAGGGATCCAAAGTGTTGATGTATTTTAATTGGATGTTCCAAAATAACTGTTTCATAGAATACATCATTTGCGGCCAGAATATCAATAAAAATATAACTGGCACTACCTTCACAATAATGTGTTTTCTTATGACACTGATTTTTAAAGAAATTTAAGCTAAAACAATATATCTTCATTTTATTATGCCACTAAGTCTCCGGATTCATTTCTGTATAAGTTACTTCCTATTTCCCAAAATACAAAGCCTACTCTAAGGATACTATTTTATGATCTACTCACTATCCAGGAAATGTGACAAGGCCTTCCCCGCGATCAGTTTATGCATTTTAAGATTGGAGAAAGTACAGTATAGATTCTAGAACAAGTTACTTTGAATAAAACAAGGTTTTAACTAGCATCGGTCTCGTTTCCAAATTGATACACAGTGTATTTCAATGAAAATACTAGTAAAAGCAAAATTATTTTCAAGTATTTCAAGCAAATTTATTATTTTCAATGCCCAGTCCATTTCAGTATCCTTGGCAGTATTATAGAAATAAAACTATGATAAATTCATAGTTTCATTCATAGTTGATATTCAAAATGAATTGTGTCCTATAATTTTGGAAAGGAAAGACTTTGTTTTCATACAATTACATTTTCTTTAAAACAATAGAATCAAAAACTAACTTAAAATGTTCACTGCACATGACAATCCTTAAAAATTTCTTTAGTTTTGCTGCAGTAATAAATCTCCAGTCTTACTCACAATCCAATACTTACGTAATCTTACTCCAATACTAGCAATCCAAAAAAATATTTTACTTAACCTTGATGATGCTCTCATCAACAGTTACATTTTAGATATTATTAAGACACACCAGCTAGTTTGATGGGCCATTACAAAAGCATTAAAGGTATGAAGGTCAATAAATGAGAATGTTATATGACAAATTTTATGAAATGTGTGTTAAGTACTGTAAGCTATAATTTTTTTGTTGTTGTTGTTGTTTCAGCATTACTGAATTTTTCATGTGGTTCACTAAACAATTACATAAATATTTTCATTTCCATATGGCATAGTTGATTCATTACAGCTGCTTGTAACTGGAAAATATTTGTTTTGATTCTGTACTAAAACTGAACAATAAGTTTAATCTTATCTGTACTATCTGAACTTACTTTAGACTTACAAAACTCTAGTAAAAGCAAATGGACATTAATAGTTTTTAAAGCCCATTTTTAGAATTTACCCTTGAAATAGATAATGTTAAGCCATAATATGTCAAATACTAGAGCCAGATAGCTTCTTCTTTTTACACCATATAATGCACTGGGGCTAGTTTCTAAAATATCTTTCCTAATTCTAACTGATCTGTCATGCCTTGTGTTATAACACACCCAGCCTACAACATGGAGTAATTATTACCATGACTTATATAGTGATTATATTGTATATTTTATGTATATTTCAGATAAAATATGAATTATACTTTCAAACAAAAGAATAGCATCATAAAACATTACTGCAGTCAGATCACTGGGGCTAGTTTCTAAAATATCTTTCCTAATTCTAACTGATCTGTAATGCCTAGTGTTATAACACACCCAGCCTACAACATGGAGTAATTATTACCATAAATTATATAGTGATCATATAGTGATGATATTGTATATTTTATGTATATTTCAGATAATGAATTATACTTTCAAACAAAAGAATAGCATCATAAAACATTACTGCAGTCAGCAATATTAAAAATTACATGAAACAGAGTTTAGATAAACCCTAGCGCTTATCACAGGGCAAAGATTAATGAAAATGATGGTGCCTATTTCAATACCAGACTATTTGAATTGAAAAAAAAGAAGGTCTGAATATATCTATAGCATTGGCCTGTACAGCAAAAACAGTAAAGCAACATGGCATTCAACACATATTAAAATGTGTATTCAAACAGAAATCTAATAACCTTTTATTTAAAAAAAGTTTTTTAAATTGTAGATTTTTTTATTAATAATTTTAAATGAATGCAATTATACAGAATACAGCCTATGCAAAAAGAGAGAAGACCATAACTAACTAATTTCAACACCATAATTTTAAAAAATTAGGAGAAACAATATATATCATTCAAATACCTTCTTCTTTAGCTTGTAGAAGAGGTTCAACATATTCAAAACTCAGGAGCTGACATGGTTTTGAAGTCACCAAAAGTATAATATTCATTTCTCCTACTTTAGCTAATGAATAGTACCTGTAAAAATCAATGCAATTTTTTTAAAAAAAAAGCTTATGATACAGTAAATAATACATTACTTAAATTTATTTCATTTACAGTTAACATTTACCACAACTAAAAAACATTCAGGTAAAACGCACAACCTTTAACATAAAAAAATTTTAATACTTTAAACCAATTGCAGTAAGGTTAATAATAAATAATCTAATCAAATGATATCACAATTCCAATGAAATAAATAGAGTTTAAACTTCCAATATGATCTTTAAAATTTACAAAATTTTAAATACGGACTTTATTGAAAATCATTAAAAGGAAGCAGAGATTTTCAGTATATTGTTTTATCATATTTTAGAACATGTTTTTCTTCTAATGGCTGGACACTTTGCTAACTAAGCATTCATCAGAAAACGCTGCTCAGTCGTTTAGCCCTCTCATCCTCAAGAACATTGCCGGCTGTGCACCACAGAGGGTAACCAATATTCACATAGGAGAAGGGATAAATTCCTTCCCAGCTTTGATGGAAAGGCCCCTGAGAGACAGGTCAAAAGATCTCCCACCCTTTACAAAGTATAGTATTAGTATATAATCATAAGCATTAAAATGTGGTTGAAAAAGAGCAGCTGAGAACAATACCATATATTTTAAAATAATTATTTAATTTTTCCATTCATTCATAAGAAAGAACACTAATGTATGTTCATTATCAAGTCACAAATTTACTTAATTGTTAATTTATTACTCAACTCAGTATAAAAAAGTCTTACACATTATTTACCTTGTGCAGTTACTGAACGAAATTTCTCCCGCATAACTCGATGCCCAGTTACCCCAATAATACTGAGCTTCATGAGTAGTACATATAGTCTCATTCGGAAGGACATAGAATTCTGGCAAAGCTTGAGAGTTTGGAACATTTATGAATGAAAATAAACTGAAAATGCAAATTACTTATTTATTATTGAGCGAAGTGTTCCAAAACATCAATCATATTTCACAAAATATCAAACTTTTTCCTTGAAAGGAGGTAAATAAATAAGCTTACCTCAAGAACCAATACTTTAAATAAGACCTGCAAAATAACAGGAAAATGTTTACATTTTGCATTTATCACTAAAAGTTTAAAATACATATTTCCCACACTTATTTTTGAACGTCACATTCATACTATTAAAACGTCTTTACGATGCCATCTGTATAGCAAATCAATTTACTACACATTACCACTTCAAAACCTCAAAATACATCCAAAGAATAAATTGACATATTTCACATTATTTATTATTATGAGAAAGTTAGCATTTCTCATTACATACGGCATGGCAAAATATAAAAATTTTTAAAGATAGCTAAAGATTTATATCAAATTCTAAACATATTATTATAAAGCAAGGAAAGCCAACAAATATGTTAGAATAAAAATCAGCATTTCCTTAAACTAAACATTAAATATTATAAATAAATATGGAAAAAGCCAATATTTCTCAATTTGATTGCAGGAAACGCTCAAATGCAAAATATGTTAGGCAACTATTAAAAAAACTTACCACGCAGAAACATCAAATAACCAACCAATGTCCAAAAATGACAAAGACGAATAGAATGGCTAGGAGAAAATCAGAAAATTTTCACAGTGAATATAAATCTATAGTATTTAAGAATTTAAAACAAATTTGAGTAATAATCATTTAAATGATAAAATACGCACAGATGCAAGAATTCTAAACCCAGCATTTTTTTTCTTCTTTGGTTTTGGGCAACGATCTTCATAATTAATATCTTCATTCCTATTAAAGACAGATTTGTCAAAAGCAAGATCATTATAAAGCTGTGTATATTGAAAATACTAAAACAAAAATGACCCCTTCCCCCCCAAAAAAAAAAAAAATAGGATATTAAAATCAAATAATAATAATAATAATAATTTGAATAATAATATTTTATTATTACAACAACAATAATAATAAAAGTCAAAATGTTCCAAAACAATAAAACTACTATAGGATATAATACAATAAAACTAGATAACGATCTACACAAAATTATTAAATACATAAAAAATATGAAATAACACACATTGAATTCAGCACCAGAAAGGAAATATTTCTTTTAATATAGGTAAAAATAACAAAGCAAAAATAAAGCACTTTGGGTCATAAAGATTCTTTATTTTTACCTTTTATAAATATTCTTTTCATATAATTCGGACATTATTTGAGGATCTATATATCCAAGAAATTTCCCAGTCTGAAAGATAATCATTTAAACTAAATCCTGAAAGTATTATTAATAAATGTTTTTCCATTAAAATGTTTTAAAAAAACTTCAGAACATAAAATGCTTTTCGAATGAAATATTTAAAATGTAAAAAGAACTTACTGAATTATACAGCTCAATTTGATTAGAAGATATAATAAAACCCCCATCATCTATGATATAGCATACGATATAATCCTATAATAAACAATCAATCAGTTGTTGAATTCTTAATTTAATACTTTAAATAAAAATATCTTACTGAAAAATGAATGAAAATATTTAATACATATACATACATCAAATACATACAGGTATCTTATAAATTATGGAAGAACAATAAAATAAAAAATTGAGTAAACATTAACACAAACATAAAACTTAATATTGAGTGCTGTTTTATTAGATTCAATCCTACTTTACAAGATCTTTGTTATTGCTGCTAATTTTTGTAACAGATGTTATAATGACATTTGATGAAATTTTGGTTTAAAGAATAGAGGTATAGCTTAGAAAAGGATGTTTCATGTTTTTTGACAAAAACAGAATAAAAGCTACTTTCATGAGGTTACCACAGAGGAAAATTTCCCAAATTTCTAAGAAGTCTTAAGGAATAAATTGATGTGAACAATAATTTAATAACATCAAAAATGAAATTTATGATTTTTATCCTAAGAATGGAATGCACTGGTGGACCTTATTTATTTATTTTTGTTTATAATGAATATGTTCCCTCACCCTAATATTAAAGATCTGCAAACTTCTCTTACATATATGCAAAACTGCATTTGAAAGTAATTTTATAAACACACTATAAATAAAAATCTGCATTTGAAAGTAATTTTATAAACACATTATAAATAAAAGTCAAATATTCCATCTTTTACATAGTAGAATTTAATTTTGTTAAATGATTTATAGGACATGAGAAAGCTATACAGCTTGAACATATAGAAACAGAACAGCTGAATTTAAGGATGAAAAAAAAAAATGGTAGGGACAAAAGACTTTAATGAGATGAATTAATGTTGAAAAGAAAAGAGATCTGGAAAGTTACACGCAGTGTCAAAGGAGAAGATGAGAAAATAGCCTTGAAAAGTAACAATAATTTAAAAAAAAAAAAAAAAAAATGTGGAAGCAACAACTTCTTTGTATGGCCTATTAACTTACACACATTTTGAAAGCATTTCATTCAAACTCATTTCCTAAAATTTCACAAGAGATGTACTTCTCATTCAATTAATTCACTTCTCACTTCACGGTAAGGCAAAAATACACAAACTCAAAACATCTTCATTAAAAATTGTAAAATACAGAAAAGTATAAAATACGCAATACAGTTTAAAAAAAAATTTACATTACAAAGAAGACATTTTTCGGTGTACAAAACTGAAAGTTTACTTTTAGTCCCACAAAGGCAAAAAGGCACTAAATTGGTGCACAAACTTATTTAATTCACCATTCTACTAAGATTTTCAAATGTAAACAAATGGCAGCTTCGTTAGGCTTAGTATTTCTTAAACAACTTTTAAATTGTTGGTAATTCTACAACTATTGCATGCAGATATATTAAAGGCATAAAAACCTTAATTGAAACATAAGAACAAGATAATTCAATCACTTTCAAAGGATAAAATGTACAATTTATCAACATATAAGTATAAAAACCCTAAGCTCATGGATTCGGATAAAAAGCAGAGTGGATATGTTTGGTGTGGGCGATTGCAACCAAAAAAGGGAGGTGCATAACTACATGTTATAGCAGTCTCATACACAAAATTTCAAAATTCTGAGGCTACTGGTTTTTTAGTTACGCAAGACATGTACTGTAATTTCCGGAAGAAACGCCGCACTCGAGAAAAATAGCGGGAAAAAAATTAAAATTACACAGAAACGACGCATCAGCGTAAACGGCGCAATAGATTAAATTGCGCGTGACATTGTCGTGGGCCGTATAGATGCAAAAACTCAACCGAAGTCCTGATATATGACATACCAGTTAAGAAAAATGCATGAAATGAAACCATAACTCAAAAATAAATTAAAGGTAAGAATGTATAGCTTCTGTGCCATTTAGACATTTTCAAAAATTTTCCGCTCCCCCTATAAAAACTATCCAACAAGTACTTGTACCCAAACTGATGGGATCTGTATTTGGCAGAATGCCCAAAAATCCATTCACGCTGAAGAGGAAATATGTCGAGTTCGTTATTTCCAGGCAGGTGGAGTCGTGTCTGCCTTTGAAAAAATTGCAGAAAAGGCGGGGGGGGAGAAGATGGGTCCTGGAAGATTCATCGAATGGCAGAGGAGAGAGACTATTCAAACTCATGAGAATGTTGATTTGAAAGGGGGAAGAATGTTATTGTTCTGAGATCTCTTTTAGGGTGAATAAGGCATGTAGGTCTGTTCAAGGGAAAGAATATAAACAAAATAACGTTCGCAAAAAGCAACTGAGTGATCTTTTGTGTGGGAACAGCACCAGTCTATGCAGGCTATCCAAACTATGTACAATGACCATCATAGGAAATATTTTATTTTTAGTGCACTTAAATGCCGCATGGGTAGAAACGCTGCACCCGCTGAAAATTTAGTTTTAAACACATAAACGCCGCGGCATTTCTTCCGGAAATTACGGTACATATGTAAATAATGAAATATGATATCCAAAATTTTTCTCATACTTCCTTTACTTCGTACAAGGTAGTAATAATAATAATAATAATAATAATAAAAAAACGAACTTCAGATTTTTAAAGTTAGAAATGCTCTTAGCAAAGTCTTTCCAAATATTCTAAAGTACTACATTATATTATGTTATACTCCGCACACTTATAATCTGCTGCTTTTATAAGTGTTGCTACTGCAATAAAATTGCACTGGCCTAGACCAATGACAGAAAACTATAAAGCTGAATGAATTATGCTTTGACTTTCTGTTTAAACTTGTTTTAATAATCTGCTTAAATAATATAACTACATATATTTATACAACATCTGACTGATAATTTTTATCAATATTTGCAGCATTGTTTTAATTAACAAACATTTTTAATGAAGTAATTTTTTAAACTGGTGAATACTGTTCTCTATAATTAACTTAGCAAAATGAACATTCTAATCATTGTTATTCTGAAATTAATACTATTTGACAATTGTAGTTGTGAAATTCCAATAATTCCTCTTGTAAGTTCTATAAAATTTTCTTTATATACATTTGCTTTTGAATTTCAGATTTGCATATAAAGATTTTAGACCATTTTGATTTTTTTTTAATGGTCTTTTTCATGATGTAAAGTTTTGTGGGGGGTTGAGTAGCCAATATAGCACTATGTTATATTTTATTCGTTTTTCCAAGTGTTTTGAAGGCATGTATTGAAAATCCTGGTACATTTGAGATGTGATTTTTCGGTTTTATATGAATTTTAATATCTTAATGGAAATTTTAATTCATTTTTTTTTTCGGTTTTTGATCTCAAATAAACCAGGAGAAGGAAACATGTTTTCAAAACATATTAATCAACTTTTATGAAGCTTTAATTCATTTTTCCATGCAGAGTTCTGAATGGGAATTTTAGTAAAAGGAGGTTAATTTATATTTTTATTATCTTATACATTTTTTCCTGTTTGCATTTTCATTATTTTTAGAGTTTGTACTACTATGAATTCTTATTTTAATTTGTTTTAGGTATTTTGTTAAACCTCTTATACATGTCTGTAATTATTAATATTTTTGAGGAATTGCCTTGCTTTGCTTTAGATGCAAAGTTTACTTTTAACTTTAGATGCTTTAAGTCTATTTTACTTCAATCCTGCAGCTATAGCGAAGGACGGGTATAAAAACTTGCTTTTAATTTTTAGCCTCTTATTATATTTCTTTATGTATATATATATATGTGTGTGTGTGTGTGTATGTGTAAATATGTAAGATATAACAAAATACGATGGCTGCTTTAAGAATAATTGGCAACCTCAAAATTAACTATTCTAGATTTGGTTTCTCCCCCTTAAGTTCATCCTTTCTCCCAAATTCGAGATCTTTCCATGTTACGTAACAATGCTTGAAAAAGGTAACTAAAATTAACCAATAGCAATTTAGCTCTACAATTGCATCTACTTTGGTATAAATACTGCTTGCAAGAAATTACATCATTCTTTTCCTAGCTTCCATTACTGCTAACACATCTCCACTACTATGCCCACTTGTCTAAAATGACATTGTATCTGTGTATATAAGAATTATTATAATTGCATAAATGTCTACTAAGATCTTTTTACATGGGTGAAAATAAAGATTTCATCCCTATACCTCACACCATTCAGTTGTGTTAACTGCGTCATCATAGCTTTTACCTTCAGCGACTACTGTCTTCTCAGCCATGACGAATATTGAAAGGTACTAAAAAGCACTGGATTCCTTCTATGCATTAAAATATTACATATGCAAGGTTATTCAAAAAAGATGGGCTCAATTCAACTTCCAAGTACGCTGGTGAAAGAAATTAAGAGAATTTTCATATTTGATCTACGATCTCCAGGACAGATTTTAATCAAATTTGGTGTGAACATAGGTTGATATAATACAAACTAAATAAATATTCAACAGTTACAATAGACACACATGTTCGTGTGTAAGACTCATGCGAGTCTGAAGGACTTTGAATTTATTATGGTCTGAAACAGCGGTTGCAGAAGACACAAAAAAATGGCTTGATAGGGGGATACAGTCCCCTCTTACAGCCATACAGACCTCACAGTGTGATGTCATATTGGACATAAGGCAGTTTATGAGTACCTGCGGCAAATGGTCCCACTGATTCCGCAATGCTGTTTTCAGTTCCTGGATAGAGGCAATTGCGAGTTGCAATTGCCTTCCCCAGAGCATCAGAAACATGCACTATAGGGTTGAAGTCTGGAGACCTGGCTGGCCTTTCCATCCGGCGAATATCCTCACTCTTGAGAAATTCATCAACCAGAAGAGCTCCATGTGGCCTCACTTTATCATCCTGCATGCTAAACTCGGGGCCCACTGCACCCTGGAAAAAGCAAACATAGGGCTCCAAGATTTCATCCCTATACCTCACACCATTCAGAGAGCCTCTGTCAAAGATGTGGAGAGGAGCGCAGCCATCTAAAATGATGCCTGCCAAGACCACTGCATTGTCACCGCTATAATTGTTGATTCCATCGACATTGGAGAGT